TATTGAACAACATACCAAGCAAAAACAAGAACATCGAAAGACAATCTTGAAGCTACTATAAGAACACACCATCCATTTTTTTAACTCTTCTATTATCCTAAACTCAGTAACAAAAAGTCAACTCAAAGTTACACACATACGACTACTAAATTGTCTACAACTACTTGATGGATCAGTAACTCGTCCTTTTGATTACATTCATCTATTTCCCAACTCCTACTCCATATCAAGTCCATATGATTGAACGATGGTTAACCGGTGGTTACGAGACTCAGTTGTGTAACGGTGAATCTGGTTCAGAGCCGCAAACCGAAGTGTACGTAGAGACAGAATCTTCTTTTGGTATAGCCACAAAGTTTAAAGGAGCTGTTGGGAGTCTCCTCATTTCCTTGAAATATCCGTTTTGGCGATGACCCGAGTAAGATCTTGGGGTCATAATGTCGGTATTTGTAGTCCCAGCTGAGTTTCTGCGAGGCGTAGGAGGCATTGATACATTTCCATTGTACCCGTTGGACCTTTTTACGCTGTTGCTTCTTCTTGGACTCGGTTTTGATCCATAAATGGATTCCCTCCGGTTTAATATCAGATCCTGCATCTTCTTTTGATCCTGCAGAGGAAATGACCTGTTCGTTTTAACAGGCGAGCCATTTTACAAACCGTAAGCGTTATATAAAACAGAGCATTTTGACAAACCCGGTATCGTTTCTTTTCCTCTTCCTGTTGTTTCCTTGTCAGTTTGTAATCTTCGAGTATGGATACCAATCGTACCTGGAGGAAACCAGTAACCATAATCAAAGGAGAGTATTTTGTATTTAAAATGCATCTAATTTACATGTTACTTTAACTTACACCATCATACAGAAATGACTTCTGTGTTTCGTCCTCCCACAAAAGCGTTTTCTTGATGAGATTGTCAACCATTGCTGCAGATAACAATAAACAAAGGAAAACTATAAGCTAAAGATCTCCCCTGAATCTTTAGTGGACAAGAGAAAATAACATACATGGAATCTTGTTTACTGTAATCCGAGCTTGTTCTGCGTGCTTTAGGTTTACATGCCCGCCTCTTCCAGCGCTGTACCGGTTCTCATCCTAAAACCAAACAAGGCATTTCTCAATTACATCCTTCAGCATACCCATTTTGCCAGCTTTTCAAGGAAATTTTACCTGATTGTACTCTTCTAACCAGTTTTCCTCTTCGCACGCAGATAACCAGCGGTCAATCCTATCGATTATCTCTTTCCGGCTCTGTGCCTCGTCTTTGATTCTGTTTATCTGCGATTCAATATTTGCAAGTAGCTCTGAAGGGTCCACTAATCCTGAAGAAACATGAGGAAAATTTTCTTAAATACAAGCAGGTTTCAGCAAGAAAATCAGTAACTCATATTTCTGAGAAGAACAAACTCTTATCACATTTTTTACCAGAATCAATCAAAGCAGTTGATTTCTCAAGCGATGTGCTTGTGTCGGGATCAATGTGAGCCAATCTGCAGAGATTCTCTAACTCAGACCTTCTTTTCATCACAAGCTCCTTCAATCTGCTAGATTTCAGCTTATTGAAACGGTCTACTTCTGCAGACACCTAATGTATAAGGCAAAAACAAGAAATCAGAGATCCTGGATGAGATTAATGGCATTTCGAGTTGGTAAAAAGAAAAGGGCTTTTGTCGTAACCTGTTCAATTGTCTCAGTAGAAAGGATATTTGGCTCAGTGATATCAGATTCAGATGATCTTACAACATAACTGACTCTTGCAAATTTACTTCTTTCTTCTTCAGGTGTATCCATTAGATTCCATAACTCGAAGAGTGACCCCACTACATCCTTCAACTGCAGATCGAAAGGTAAAAACGCTAACAATCAAAATGATTATCAATTACATAGAGAAGAATAGCATTGCAGACATGTTAATCTACCTTTTGAAAGCGGACTCTCCTTTCGGTTTTCAGCTTTTGAATCATGTGTTGTAGACCATCCAATGTACTATCACTGATGTTTGTAGACTGCTCGTGGTTAGTCCTATGTAAGCTCGGATGAACCTCGCTAACAGTTTGACCAAAGTCGACTCCAAGAACACCACATAGAGTGTGAACCTCATTCACATAATCCAAAACCTTGTTCAGGCGATCAGACTGCGTAA